TGGGATCACTAAAAAATCGTCTGAAAGTGTTTTCAAAGTTTGAATTACCAAAACCTGCCTTGGGTATGTCTATTATTAATCTTATTTGGTCCTTAAATTCCTTTTAAATTTTTTGTTTCGTTTCCTTAACAATCTGTTTCTTTTCAGGTGTTCTGGCTTGCCACTTCTTCAATAGGAGTTTGTAGGCAATATGAAGAAGGGTCTCAAATATTCATATTCTGGCATGAAGAACAGAAAGTCCGAATCTCAGGGCTTCTGGATTTTCGATATTTGTTTTGAAAATCGTTAACGTTTTTCGGGGTTTTTCCACATTTCATTGTAGAGCTTGTATTTGTAGCCGAATTACAAACTTTGGCATCAATCATTGTAGGTATTATCGTATGTTTAACCTGTATGACTCCATTAGAAGTTTGCACTTCTATCCTTTGCAAATTTTTTGCTTGGTCTTCGATATATTTTATTTCCTCTTTTGTAATATCAAAGGTCTTGTAGGCGAACTTCTGCATAAGTCTCCATTACTTTCATTGCCTCTTTACTCGGATAGGACATTTTCTTTGCTTCTTTAATTAAGGAATAGCAGGGATATATATTGGTGTTGGACTCTCGTAGTATTACGTACACATACTATTGCTTTGTCAAACCCATATAAACAAGAAGGCACAGGGCTTCAGCAGCCGTATGCTTAACAAATCCTTTAGTTTTCTTCCTGATTGCTTTTCTAAATTTTTTTGCTAGAGTAAGAGTCGCTGTAATATCTTTTATAATTTTAGACGCATCCGAGTTTCCCGAAGTTCGCTAGCTGACGCTAGGCGTATGTCAGTTCTTCCACAGATACTTGCTTCCGAAGCTCTTCTGTCTTGCGACGCTTGTCAGTCAATTTCGAGAATAACTTTTGTGGTCTACCAGGTCTGGAAGAAGCACGTGATGCTCAAGTATGAATAGATGTGGATGCCTCCAACCATGCGTTATTTTTTTTAAGAAACGTTCTTCTGTGTAATTTGCCGAAGACCATCTTTGTTTAAAGTCAGATTTAAAATGTCTTAAATCACGACTTAGAATTTGAGACTTACTTTTGGTACAATTTGTTGTTTCCCAAAGTTGCTGCTCCAAGAAATCTAGTTTTTCGGTTAAACTTCGTTTGCCACTCTCTTTGCAAAGTAAATACAATGATTTCTGGACAGTTCAATGATCTTGTCTAGAGGATTCTCTTAAACGCGAAATTCGATTTTTCTTGGCGAAATTGTTCCAACTGGTTGAAAAGATGACATTGAGACATTTAAATTTGGTTTTCTATTTTTTTTTACTTTTGTTGAACAATATATACATTTATAATTAAAATTTTAAAGGTTAAAAAATGTGGCAGACGATGAAAATATTATACCTGCGGTATATTCTACATAAGTCACAGTTTATTAAAAAATAGGATATACAACTCGATCGTACACGGCACAGTAGTAAAAAACTTGGAATATAAACACTAACATTGAAAAATGTGCTTTGTAGTCATTTAAATTAAAGACGGACAAAAAACAGTATATATGTCAAAATGAAGCTCAAATTATACATTATTAGCAAGTACATACTTTCTTCTTTGGAACGCATCACAAAAGTTTTCTCAAAACAACAAAAAATAGCGTATTACACCCACTGCAATTTAAGTAAAATTTGGAGCGTACTGGTAGCGAGAGGAGCAAATGCAGTTTTGCGTAGATTTGGACTACCTGCTTTGAAACGGTGCTAATGCCGGCGATCCAGTAATAATTGGTTGACACTAGCACGCGAAGTGTTTTTTAAAGATTTTTTTGATCGTTTATATATTTTACTTTTGACTGATTTTATGGACTAAATACTCCTGTGTGCGGCGGCTACAAATTGAAGTTTCATATATTAAGCCGGAATGCCAAAATAAAGTATTTTTTAATGGGACAGCCTATATATTCTTTTAATTTTGTTTAACTGTTACAAATAATTTTATTATATTAAAGATTTCTTATACCTATCTCTGATAATTTCTGATTATTTTGCCATTTTTTGAAAATGTGGTGCAGTAGAATTTAACTGATTACTTTGATTACAAAATAAATTAAAGACATTTTGGAAGTTTCTTAAAAAATGTCTTTTTAGCACTCATTAATATATCAAAAAAATGTATTTTCAATTTGATGTTTTATTAAAGCAAATTTTATTTATTTTAAAAGTTCTAAATGGTTTCCTTAAACCAATAAAATTCAAACATATACTAATGTATTTATTTTAACAAAGCCTTGAAATTTACAATACATGTTCAAAATTATTGCCAATAGGCATTTTGATTCGTTTAAAATATTTTTATTTCGAGAGAGAAAGAGATTTTTAATTGAATTTCTGTTGATAAGACATCTAGATTTGTAATCCAGTGGGTTTTCGTGTCGATGATAGTAGGTATTCCGAGTTTTTGTCACCAGTAATGCAAATAATAATCCTCCCTTCCCAACACATGAAGGGATTGATTCGCAAAGGGATGAATTATAATAGAGAACGTATGGTTTAATTTTTATTTTTATTGTTGTTTGATCATTTTGCATAATATAACCCTTTTAGTAATTAATAAAATTAATTAACTAGTAAAAAAATTGTTTTTAGAAATAAATAAGATTTTTGGGTATTTGTAGTTTTTTATTAAAAAAATCTTGTATAGAATCAATCATAGTATTTCAAAATTGTATTTATACCGTATCAAAATTCTCGAAAATCCATAAAACTTCCCAATTTCACGTCTGTCATAAGAACCGGTACCTATATTATTAAAAGCAGACTTTACCTGAAGCCACTGTTTCACACACTCACAGTTTATTTAGACATAACAGGAATGTATCTAGGGGAATCAGGATCGGTTTTGGTGAATCTGTTATCTTTTCATTTGAAGAAATAATTCGGGATTTTTAGTAATACAACAATTAAAAGAAAAGATAAAGTGATAAATAAATTTAAGATAATCAGATCTAATTTTTTTTTTATAATTTATTTGGCATTTATTAAATTTAATAAATATATTTTACAATGTATATTAAAATTGTGTCTCCCTTCTAAATACTAACAAAAAATTAAAAAAATATTTTCTATATTTACAATTAGTAAAAGATTTATTTCATAGGGCTACACCAGTTGTGTATATAAACTATATTGTATTAATTTCGCCTTCAGCAAAAACTCTTTTCCTATGGCCAACTTTTAATACGTTTTATTAAAATTTAGACAAGACTGAAGTCAAAAAGGAAAATTGCAAAAGTTACAAACACGTTTATAATAAAAAAGGTTCGTCTTACTCTGGAATTATAAGTTACTTACTCTGCTTGTATCATTTGGGTTGACAAGTCTAATTCGATATCAGAATTTAAATGGTCTAAAATAGGATTTTGCAACTCAGCAAATTAATTGAGAATATCTTTAATTGAAAAATTTTCCATAGTTTTCTTATGTTCACAAATCGGTTGAAGACGACAGTTCTGCCACAAACACTTCTTAACACAGCCTCAAGCCATAATTATTGCATAACCTTATCCGGCGATGATGACCTCTACTGATATGTTTAATATATGTTTTAGAGTTTCTCCTGCTCTACAATATTTTATTTCTCGCTATTTTTAAAGAGATTTTTTCTCACACTTGCTGTTTTGTAATTTTGTCCACAATTTTAACCAATCATTTCTACATTTAGCTATTTTTCTTACTATAATAATTATTATTCTCTAAAAATCATAAAATAATAACAGTCGTTAAAAAAAGGTACATAGTATGATTATCAATTTATTTTAAATATATATTTCACCAATCTACGTTGAACTTTTTTGGCCCAGGAAGCCTGAACTTTTTATTTGGAATATCTGTCTGTTATTAGCTAATATCTGTTGACATTTTCTAAACTAAAATAAAATTATTTTGTGATAATTATGCCAAATAATATGACAGCGTTAAAATATTTTACTTATTATATTGATAAAAAATACTGCCATTATCAAATACAAATATAAAGGCCAACAATCTTGCCCTAATGCTTTAAAATCAAAATTGCTCTTGACACCCTTAAAACTTTTAATTATGATATCTGCAATATCAGTTATTATAAAAATGTTCTTCTGCAGTTCTCTCTCTATTATTAATATTTTTTTTTTTTGGTAAAAATGATAGTTACCAGAATGTACGTTCCCCAGGCTAATTAAAATATCCCAATTGACAACAAAAAAGTTATGACAGTAGATATCGACCAATTTCAGTTTTCTCAATTTTCTGAGAACTATAATTGAAATGCAATTATTTACTTGAAGCACTAATTTCCTAATAAAATGTATAACCAATATTTAAAATAATTGTTTAATTAATTAGTTAGAAAGAAAAAACTCTTGGTATATACATACATACAGCTATATATTTTTAAATAAATTGTTTTATCATCTTTTCGTATATATACACTATAACTTCCTAACAGAAAACAAATTTATTTGAATTTTAAACTACTTACCCAACAGTTTAACATATTATTGGTAAACAAAATCTATATTGTAGATAATTATATAATAAGATAAAAAAAAATCTTATGTTGTCTTAGGTCAGAACTTCTAGTACTTTAAATTGTGTGTGAAGTTTTTTATTAATGAAAGTTAAAACACATTTCAAAACCAGTCGCAACGGCCCTGACTCCATATTCAATGTTTACCCTACGGGTCCCTTATATGCCGCGTTATAACGAAATGCAACAGCTGTTGATCCAGAAACCACCCCTCAAAAATGGGAGGGGTCTCATTGCCTCGTGCCATGTGCGAATGTTCCTTTTCAAATTAGTTGATGTAAACTTTTGGTTCATTTCTTAAAACACTCTCGCACGCGACAAATCTATAATAACGACATCCGGTGCCCATGCTCGTTTACTTTATTAGTTAGTGACCAATGTGAACTTTGTTAAGTGATGACAAACGCGAACGCGAAAGCAAGTCTATTCTAAGAACAACGAGTGTGCGCTTAAAATGTCGCAAATAAGTGCCGTGCAGTACAGCAAAATCAACGTGCTTCAACAAAATCAAATTAATAATAAGCAAAGTGATCGGCAGATCATTGTTTTAAGAAAACCTCAGCATATCCTACCACAACCTAAGGAATACAACAAAGATGAGTTACTTGTTACTAATAACTCGAAGAAAAAAATTAACAAAAGTATCAAAGAGACAAAAACCAATTCAGCTCCAGTGGCGGTAGCTAGAAGAAATGCTAGGGAGCGTAATCGAGTCAAGCAAGTAAATAATGGTTTTGCCACCTTAAGGCAACATATTCCAAATTTCATAGCAGCTGCTTTCGAAAATTCGAACGGAAGAGGAGGAAACAAAAAACTTAGTAAAGTAGAAACCTTAAAAATGGCTGTAGAATACATCCGGAATTTAGAAGATATTCTTTCTATGGATAACTCTGGAGATGCTAACGATCATCCGTATCCATCACCTAATTCTTCAATTACATCACCTAATCACCAAATGCAAAATAACATTACCTACACTTACCAAATACTATCGCCTCCTGAAGATGATGATGACGATGATCTCTCTTCTAACGCTACAGCCTCTCCACAACAATTCATCAAAATTGATACATCCTCAGGAGCTTTTCACGTGCTGTCCAATTCTATATATGAAAATGGAGAAAATCTCGACCCTATGGTTGTCGATGAACATCTACTAGCACACCCACCTCTACTAGATCCCAACCTAGAATTTAACAGTCAAGATCTCTCATATCTACAGAAAGTTAATTCGTCAGATTGTTTATCTCCTGGATTCTATAGTGAAAACTCTCTATCTCCAAATTCATTAGATACAAATGATCCGAACTGTTTTATACCAGTATTTAATACTCCCTGTGGAGATGGGCTTGGTGACGTGAAACCTAACATTAATGAAATTCCAGTTATTTCGCTAAAGACTGAAAACGAGTTGCCTAATGAAGAAAAGAATAGTATGGTGGATATGCTTCAGTGGTGGGAACACCAAGAACCTCAAAATAGGGAAAGCTAGTTGTTGCTAATACTAAAGTAAGTAAAAAAATAAAAGTTATTTGTATCGATAAAAAAATGTGTGTGTAAAATGCATATTTAGACGTATAAGAAAAATTTTATAGAATTCATGTACAGGGTGATTCAAAAGTTGATGCTCCTTTTTTAAACTATATTGAAATAGACGTCTTTCTCAGATAACTTGAAAAAAAAAAACAAAAAATTACAAGGATTTAAATCTGGTGATCTCTGGGCCACTTAAAAATAAATATAGTAACAAAATTAATATTAAAAAAAAGGTTTTTATACATTACTTAGCCGAATAGGTGTACTTCTCGAAATTGGTCAGACGTAATCCTTAAGATTTTGTTATTATCTTATAATTTTGTTCTTCAGTTATTTTCTAAAAGTTTTTTTATTTTAATGACTTCTATATACAGTTAAAAAATAATATATTCATTCGTTGATCGTTTATACACGTTTTTTTTTACAGAGTCCTGTATATTTTCACATTTTTAGAACTATTTATTTATGGTTAAATTTTGATTTTTATTTAGAAAAACACTTTAAATAAAAAAAAATAACTCTTGGAATTTTCTTGATTCTATTTGTTACCGTATACTTAAGCACAAAGGTACTCGGGTATATTTTTTAAATAAAATCATCCATTGGCCCAACTCTATCATATGACCAGGTTTTGATACACAGGGAGTTAAAATGGCAAATTGACTATATTATTTAAAAAGTCTGCACTTATTAAAGTACATACTTTTACATACGTCTCCTATCCATTTTTTTATAATATTATTACTACAAAACGTTATAACATGAAATACGTTAAAATAAAATTTGCAGTTATCTTTGTATTTATGAGTTTTTAAAAAAACAAGTATCACTACCATATAATTACGATTTCATACATTTAATTTGAGTGTAAAACCATAATTTATACTAGCTAGAAGGTATAATGGCCCACCTACAAAAATGCGCCATAGTAACTCATGATAAGCATGTCAATATCAAAAATCTTTAAAAATGTGTTTATTTATTATATGGTTAATAAAAAACGAAAAATTTCCACTATAGTTTTCTGGAATTTGTGGAAGTTATTTCCTGAGAGTTCTTTCCTGCACTATTATATAATCGTAGATATATTTTGAATGGGGACCACAAAAATAACGTAATAGAAACAACTCTTGAATTTATTTAAATATCTGTCACTACCAAGTTGTACAGTAATATTAAACTTTAACATTATATTAGTAAACCCAAAGATAATAATAAAAAAATTACCCATTTTAACCGATGAAATTGTTAGAATAAGACAGGCTTCATCCTATTCAAGTTTGCAAAGAAAATTATTAGGTTTTATAATGACAACTTTTTTATCGCCAACTTTAGGAAATAAGCTTAAACGATTATTATGGTTCAAAATTCTTAATATTAAAATAAAATTAAGAAGTTTTGCTTTTAATTTTAGGTTCACAGAGTATTTTTGAAAAAAAATTTGGCTGCGCTAATAATTCTATACCTACTACTGAACAATTAAATAAGTATAAATACACACTATTTTTGATTAGGCATAATTTCAACTGTTCTTTTATTTTTTTGGAAAATTAAAAATTAAATAATTTATATTTAAATTTTTATAGATGTGGAATATGATCAACATATCTACAAAGCTAAAATGAACCGAATTTTAATTCATTTATAAGAAAAAACATGATTGAAGAATACTTAAAATTTATAATAATAATAATAATGTTGTTTATTCACATAAAACAAACACAAATACATTGTATAAAAATGTCATTTAAAGATGAGCAAATAAACATGAACTACACAGCAGCTGGTATGGACAGCTTGTACGTGGTAGATATTACCAAAAAAATTTAATCACAAATTAATTCTATAATATAACCTAATAAATAATAAATAATTAATAAGCCCAATGGATCAGTTTCACTGTATCCTAGGCAAAATGTTAAGAAACTTGTTAATAATAAAATTAAATTATTTATATAATGTAATAATTAGAAACTATTAAAATGACACTTGAAGAGGAAAAAGAACCAATTAATTTTTTTTATTCAAAAAAGTTACACAATGTGTACTTCACTTTCTTAGTTGAAGTTCTTTCGTTCGCTGTTGGTGCAGTGTGAAACAGTGTCAATTTCAATACCTTATTCACCTAGTTTACTTCCCTCCTTATTTTTTGTACACATATAGAGTGTAATTCACATCGTATAATAGCTGGTGGAGAAAATATCCACCAGTGGACACCACATCGTTGACAGTATTTTACACCGGGCCAAACGAAAGGTTTGGTGTAGTTTATTCCTACACCAGTTGGATGAACGAAAGAACCTAATGTGTGTGTGGTTGAGTTACTGACTGCGGATCCGGGTGGTTCCCCCTGGTTCCTAAACAAATAGTTGAAATAATGAAACTGTTGATTTTAGTCGTGTAGATCCACAAAAATTACAAATAATAAAATTGGTTATTTATAAAAAAAAAAATCATAACGTGGTTGTTTCATTTAAAATTTTCTAGAAAAAAAAACCTTTTAAAATTAATAATTTTTAAATATGTTGAATAAATGTTAATTTATATTTGTTTCGTTTTTCAGTTAAACGATGACAAACAGAATAATGTAACTTCAAAAAATCTCAATTCAAAATTTTACCAAAAATAAATGGTGACCTTATATTTTTAAAAGTGCCAAAATATTTAGGGTAGGCCTTCGATAGATAACACCTCGTTTTATACTTATTATTGTTTTTTTAATCGGTTTTCACGGCGAGAGGTACTGGGTGACAATGAGACCAGAGTTAAATTAATATCGTCGTCTTCAGGAGAAAATTGCGTAACTCCCTCTGATGAAATATAAAAAATATAAAAAATAATTTTAAAGTCAAATTTTTGAACATTGTTACGTATTATTTTTGTGTTGATTTAATAAAAAATATGTAGTATTTTAAAGAGTAAGAGGTGTAGATATTTTAGCTCTCTACTTAATTAACTCCCATGGATCAATATGCCTCGGCTTAAAACATATTTTGGGCTCAGATCTTTGTAACTGTTGCTACGCCAGGTCAAATTGATTTGTAATAATCAAAGTCATAAAATTTTTTTAAAAAAAGTTAAGTTTTTTACATTATACGGTTGTGGATGGTTTTTAGCGATTTTACAAGCATGTTCATAATCCGCTGTGATATTTATTTTCTGATTACGAATTTTTTTTTTTTTTTTTTCGATGCCAGAGTGCATGGAATCAACTTCCATCTCTGTATGCTCTTTTTCAGGTACTTCTGAATAATTATTGTTATCTTATGAAGCATACACCTATTAACGAAAACGTTTGCAAGAATAGAGTTTCGATTCGGCTCTGTGCATCCATCGCTGTATAATATAACTTTCCTATTGTTATTTGGTAAATTTTGGAAATATTGAATCTTCCAAAAAATTGCATAATATTAGTAATAACTCATTCTCAGTCATACCACCTTCTGCTTCGTGCCAGAGGAAGGAGCAGCCGTCTTGTGTTTTTAAATTAAAGAATGAGAAATTATGCACAACTGATTTCGTTTTGTAGTACATAGAGCTTACAGTTGACTTGAGGTACGGCACGGCACGGTAAGTCCATAGTAAAAACTGCAGCAACTGAAGCAGAATCTTGTCCCTATTTTTCTCTTCTCTAGCTGTTTTTTTTCATTTCCTGGTGCATGTTATACTATTCTTGTTCAATATTTTTTGTATCGTAGGCTACGCAGGTGTCACACAAATCTTTTTTGAAATATAAATGAAAATATTTTCCTTATTAAGCTCCTTAAAAAAGACAGTCTTGGATACAGGAATTATATTATTTTTATGACAATAGTCACATTTCTAAAACCTAAATATTTCAGTTGTGAAACACCATAATGGTTTTAAGTAAAGTTTGCTGCTGGATGACCGGCAATAATGCTACTCAACTTTTGGTAACGATTTAAAGAATGTTTTTAATTAAAAATTTTTGCTTTCATACATTTTTACTCTAACTTCTCTTCTTTTGTTCTTTGATTTTCCTTCTGCTTCCTGCGGTTAGTCCAACTTTACCCAATTCAGAATTGTAAAACTTCTTCATTCCTAATGTTTTTAAGAACATCTGTTTACAGACTCGAATGTCTGTATTGTTAATTTTTAAATGACATTTCTTCTGCTTGATTCTCCTGTTCCGCGTTTTCTCTGTACCTTTTGAATTTTAACCAATCATTGAATATATATTTTTCTTTCTGACCAAGTCATATTGCTCCAAAATATGTTAAAAATACTAACCCGATTTTCTTGAGCTACTTTATCACTTTCAATTTTCTTTGAACTATTTTTAATTTTACACCTGCATGAATTGGCCTAAATTTTTTTTTAGATTTAGGTATATTATAGTACCATTTTCCATCCGATTTTTTTACCTGTGCAGTTTAATCCCTTTTCTCGTTTCATTTTATTTGTGTATTTCTTCCTTATAGAACTGTTCACATCATCTTTTTTTATCTCTTTCTTGGAATAAAATACCGGCAGGCCGTTAACTTAAATGTACCTGATTGTTTTCATCTTCTCGCATTTCCTCGTTTACGTTATTTTCTTCTTCTGTAATATCCTCGTTTACTATATTTTCTTCTTCTCTTATGTCCTATTTACTTTGTTTTCTTCTTTTCTCATGTCCTCGTTTACGTTATTCTTTCCTTGTCTTATATCCTCGTTTACGTTATGCTTTTTTTCAGGACCCTTGTTTTGTGGGCTGGCCTTAGGTATAGCTAATGGATCTGGTACGTTAATAACTTCTACGATGATTTTTTGTGAAACGTTTCTGCTTGATCTTTCCGTCAAGTTGACGGTTTGTGAAGAGCCAGGCATGCTTCTTGATAAAGAATATTTTTCGCAGCTAAATTGGTTTCCATGATATTCGATTCTGCACCGTTAATTTCTGTATCCAAACTGTTTTGCACAAGGAAGGAATCAACTACTTTCAGCCATGCATCATCCTCTAGATCTGATTCAATATTGTCAATAGTTGCCATTGCTATTATTTTTTTTCTTCTGGAACCCATAATAATAGAGAGTAACTGTAAGAAAAAACTAATTACGTATTTATGAGCAGTTTTATAGTTAACACATGTCATAAAATGGCAAAAGGCCCTGTTTAAAAAATTTTAGGCAAACTTACGACTCATGAGACTTGGGTCTAGATTGCAGCATGACAACGGCGGTGAAATATTGCAACATTTGTCCGCAAATAAGAAAATTTGGAACATTTCTCCGTAAAAACTAAAATTAATAATAATAATAATAATAACTATTGTAAAAAT